AGCTTCACAATTTCTGGTCAATGTAAAGAGTACATGGCTAGCTAATTTATTTTAAGTGTATGCTGTTCTTTTGACCAGTATATCATTTTTCACTGCGTGTTTAGCATTACAAGTATCAAGAGGCTGATGGACATTTCTCTCTCTATGGGCTGGGGAACCAGTTACCCACCCTGTATCTTTTACATGCACACATATCTGTAAATATAATAACTGCTCCATGTGGTAGTGCAATTAATACTGGTACCCCTTGTCTTGGGGGTTTTAGAAACTTTAAGATAATAACTTTTTTAGTCAGAATTCATCATACTTGGTGTGAAAGTCAACTGCAACAAGAAACATGATAAACTGATGTCACTTGACCAATGTGTCACATACTTATGCTGTTTTTTTTTTTTCAATTATGACTACCTTAATTGTTAAGCAAATACATTTTTACAATAATAATTTTTGTTTGATTTCAGATATCATCCAAATTATTCCTTACAGTCCAATATAAATTCTACAGTTGTGATATAATTCAGACAGATATCCAAGCAGACATGGCTCAATTTGTAACACATTTTCATGGATCACATACAAAACATGAAACATGATTAATCTTTTACTCAGTGATGGAAGGGTTTTCCATGAATACTTATTCTATACAAAAGTTACTCGCATATTGCCTCACTGACTGATAAAAAGCAGCCATGAAAATATAAAAGATGTCCAGACCAAAATTGCTAAAAGCATCAGCCACGAGATCATCCGACAAAGCATTCTATTCCTATGCCATGGCCACAGACCACACCGGCAGTCGCATCTACGTAAGAGAAGGAAATGAGAAATCATGCTCAGTTCTTGAACTTCTACGTGGCAGCAATGGCCAGTTTAAGACCTGCATTCCAGCGACTACTGGAGGATACCACAATATGGCTGTGTCTGACTCAGGCCATATTTATCTCTCTGACAGTGTTGACAAGGACTTAAAAGTGTATTCACCGACAGGTGTGCTGTCAAATAGTTTTGGAGGCCATGCCCTTCAGAAGCCCGGGCCTCTGACTATAAGCAAACAGGGACATGTTCTGGTGTACGATAAGCAACATCGAAGTGTCTTTTCATTCAGTCCCGACAGTGGACATGTGGTGAAAGTAATACACATTAACAAAGATATAACCCCCTTCTGCCTGACTGTTGATAGAGCAAATGAAAATATCTTGCTAACAGATCATGACCACCACTGCTTCTATACTCTCTCACTGGACACTGGTCAAGTTGTTTTTAGCCACGGCACCCCTGGCCGGAGTGGGTCCAGTAACAATCAGTTGTACTACCCCTCAGGGGTTTGCACGGATGGACATGGTCACATTTTCATTGCTGATCAATGCAATAAGAGGGTGGTCATGTTAAGTCTCAATGGCCAATTCATCAAACATTTGCTCAATGAGATGGATGGACTTAGGAAACCTTTAAGTGTAGCTATCGATTCTGAGGGACATATTGTTGTGGCTGATCAGTTTAAAAATCAAGACAGATGGGCCTACGCCCTCAAAACATTTCAATACTGGTAAACAATTAATATCTGGTAAAATATCTGAATCACTTTTTCACAAGAAAAAAGTGACAATTTTCTTTTTAATTCAGTATAATATATTGAATATATACTGATATATGTTATTAAAAATAATTATTTATTGATAATGTATTTAGTCTTAGGAAAAAACTTTAACGATAACACTAAATTAATGTATTTTTCTCAGAAGTATTAAAACTTAATTTTTTGTAATCTGCAATGAACACTGAGAGTACTTAGTTTAAAGAGTCAATAAATGTTAACTCACTAATGGTCAATTATTATTCTTATTATTAATTTCTAAAATGAGCTTTTTTCTGTTATTCTTACCTCATGTACCCTATACCTAGTTATGTCATCTTGTTCCATCACACTGCGGAGTTTCTCCAGCATAACACCCTGTGACAGACCTTGAAGGCAACTCATATTTGTACCTGTAAAATAACAATCTGACATATTATACAGTTTCTCCAGCATAACACCCTGTGACAGACCTTGTAGGCAACTCATATTTCTACCTGTAAAATAATCATTCCATATGTTATATAGCCAAAGTAAGAAATGACATTCATGTAATACAGAAGGCACAAAATGCAGTGTATAATCATGTCAAATCAGGCAAAGAAGACTACCAAAATGGCTAAAATTCTTAATTTCAGTAGCCAATTCAGACTCAAAAGCATGTTTGTAAAACAATTCAATCAAAAATATCACTAAGTTAAAGCCAATAAGATTTAACATATATTATGCTATTTTTTTCAAAATATTGCTTCTATCTTCATAAACAATAACAACAGAGACAGACAATAACATCCTCAAGCAACAAAGAACAATGACACAAGAATCAAACACGTTTACCCACCTAGATTGATCAGCACCTTTCCAGCAGCCTTGGCGACTCCAATACTTTTATCTCCCAGCTGTTTGATAATAACTAGCAAGATGTCAGAATATGTCATCAACTCTGAGGGGTTTTCCTCAGCAGCTCTCTGAACCTGAGGATGTAAATGGCCTAACTATAAGTTGTCAGTTTTGGCAAAATATTTTGGTTCAATGCATAAGTGCACTTGTCTCAGGCAGTAGATGATGCTTTTTTTTTGTTTTTTTTTAGTACAGAAAGTACAGCAAATCACATAATCAACGAAGTGTTAATCCAGCAAAACACATATAGGTCTAAAATAAAACAACACTTTGTATTTAAAATTAAGTGCCTTTTAGGTGCCTTTAAAAGAGTAAAGAAGTAAAGAACAAAAGGGAAAAAAAAGAAGAATGTTACCTGTTTTAAGCAGACCTCCCGAACAGGCTGTTTTGGATTCTCCAAACCTCTCAGTAATTCTTCATTAAAATTAATAAGCAAGGCCTGTGTCTGGAGGGCCTCCAAGAGTCTTCCCAATATGTCACAACATGTCTGAACCTCTTCGCTTTAACAAAAGAATAGCAATATACCATTTTCTTGTTGAGTTATACATGTAAATAAGGTCGATCTACAAAAGCCTATGAAGTACATGGAAATAGGGCCTTCATTCACAACAGCACCACCAAATATAGCGGTATACAGCTCCATTGTCAAAATTGCTGTCTCATCGTTATGGATATGTATTGGTTAAGAAGAGCACCATAAAAACATTTCTAATAACTAAACATATCATTTGCATTTGCTTTGTATGTCATACCTAGCAAAACCCATTCCCATCTCACTGTGTTTAAATATATTCGTCCAATATTATTTTTACAATGAAAATTCGTCTGCATGTGCCAAAGGGACAGCATCACGCTGGTTTTTAAGCTCACCTGTTGGAGGAGTTTAAACAGTCAAAAACTGAGCTAAATGACACGTCTGGGACAACGTCACGAAGTGCTGAAGGGTGGACTGCAAAAAGGACGGTTTTTATCTGTATCAACGTTTTCAGTGGATCGTCAGAATTTGGCAAAGCATCTAACAATGCAGAAATGTTCATGCTGCCGTCTCCAGCCATCTTTTTCAAGACAATCCCAGACCAAGTCTATTTGTTTCCGGTGCATGTTGCCGCACAATATTTAGCAATAATAGGTTCTTTATTTTTGCCCCTTTTTCAATTGAAAATTCATCAATTGTCTTTCTTTCATTGTTGTTCCAGATCGTTCTTTTCATTAATCGCTTCTAACCCAAAAAATCCCTAGGGACAGCTTTTGGAACTAAAGCGTAGGCCTACCTGTGCTTTTTGTTACTGTATTGACAGGCTAAATTATCTAAACTGGAAAAAATTTAAACAGTTAATGAATGACTCCTTAATTTTCACATTTCTTCTTTATACCCAGTATATTTCAGGAGAACAAATTAAACATAAAAGAATTTTGATAATTTTTTCCTAGCGTTAGACTAGCTCATTTAAATAGGCCTACAATGCGAATTGATGTTGAGATGAAATTTGCTGTAAACTCACTGACCAAATTTTGTCAAGAAGCCTTGTTAAAATTAATTGATTTGAATATCAAGGTCACTTTAGGGCCAATATGTAACTGAATTTAGAAAAAACATTGAAAAGCAAAAAGGCCTGCAGTGTATTTGATTATAACTGTAGGCCCTATATGCAAGCGGCTTTTTTCTTTCTACTTCGAAGTGTTAAAAAAGCATTGTCCATGACCAGTTCTATGCCTACTCCGGAGGGGAAAGACTTTTAATTGTGTCTGCAAGGTTTTCAGCCAGCGATGTTTAAAATCTCAGTGGCGAGATTTTGCTGTATATAAGAATCCTTTGTTACCTCATATTAACTAAAAAAAACGTATAAATGATTTGTTTCAATATTTGTAGCCTACATGTAAATCACTAATTTGATCTTTTCAGAAATCCCTATTTGATTAAAGGTAATCTAAAATAGTTCTTCAAATCAACACAATATTTTTTCCACAACACGATTACAAAAATAAAAATAAGGGCCAGATAATGATAATAGTAGTAGTAGTAGTAGTAGTAGTAGTAGTAGTAGTAGTAGTAGGCCTAGTAGTAGTAGTAGTAGTACATGTAGTAGTAGTAGTAGTAGTAGTAGAATACATAAATAAATTAATAGGAAAAATATAACTCAGGTAAAAAGTTTTTCTTTTCAACATTCCTAAAATAATATGGATTGTTTCGCTAATTGCGTTATTTGATCGGGATCTTACCGTTAAAATGTAGAATTAAAATAAAACATTAATTGGTAATTTTTATTCAAATCATTACTCATTAAACTTGGACCAGTGAAACGTTTTGTTTTTATTCGTGTAAGCATAAAAAATAGTCACTAAACCAAAGTAGTCTTTATGTCCATCGTTTGTAGGCCTAACATTGTTGTTGTTTCTTGTTCCCCCTTTGATAACCTACTAAAAGCATGTAACCCGCGTGAGTGCATTCTTTGTCCTAGTATAGATTATAATAATCGCAGTTTATTATAGGCCTGTGATTTCTGTGTCGTTGTAACAATTTCTATTCAATGTTTTCGTTGTGATGTATATCACATTTCACTCTAGCCGTGGCCTTTATAAGGCAATCAATCTGTACAGTTCAATAATAGTGTAACAGATTTGTATACAAGTCGCAAGCGTTTCCAAGTATGGAGAGTTACAACTGGCCAGCAACGGGAATCGATAGTGTAAACTGCCTGAGTGACACAGAGTCACTGCAGAGTTTGGTGTGATATAGTTGACCATTTGCCGTGGTTTCCTGTGCATTTGATTTGCTGAAAACTGCGCTTGTTTGACATAATGAGTCGTGTTTACGGTGCATTTCGGACCGATCAGTAGCACCTACATGTAAGATGAAACACTGAAGCAAAGAGACGGGGCTAGAACAAGGTCACCACTTATAAAGCCACTTTACTGTGATAAGAAACCATAAACCATAAAACTTTCAATATTGACACAAAGACAGGGAGATATTTTTACAAGTAGATCGAAGATGTCCGCGGCAGACGACGTTGTAGATTCCAAGTCCTGTTGTCCCAAAGTCACAACTCATAAAGTAGCTTTATACATTGGCCTCGGATTTCTGCAGTTGCTATGTTACGCCTTGCCGTATTTCCTAGCAATATGGCACGTGGTAGACAAATTCAAGGAGGAAACGATCCCTCAGAATGTATCGCACGAACGAGACCATTTTCTCCACGGTCTGGACGTCACGGCAGGTTTTTTTTGGAATATCATGATAGCAATCTTCGTCGGCCTGGTTACTGTGGCCCTAATTGTTTACTTCGCCATTAAGGTGTCCTGGCCGCATGCAAGAGAATGGTGGTAAGATTATATTATATTATATTATATTATATTATATTATATTATATTCAAAGACGCTCATCTAACTATTGTTTGCGTCCATCTGTTTCGCGAGACTTAACCATTTTACCTATTTTTGCGTCTATTCGTGTGATTTCTTGATAATTCTATGCGTCCCTTCACTATCAGGCATGAACTATCAGCAAATAATGCTTTTGTAGATTTATTAAGTACGAATGTAAGCAAGCATTTAGACGAGCACATGTGTAGTTAAAACAGTAGTTAAAAGTTTCGTATAATCTATTGCATTTTATTTTTCAATGTCTTCAGGCGCCCTTCCATAGCTGTGTACGTTATATTTTGCTTACTTCCGGTCATGGTTTTGTTCGGGGTTACTTACAAGGTAAATATTGGTCTGACCAATGATATTTCTTTTATACGTCTTACATACAGTTATTGATATTGAAAAAACAATCGAAAAGTATTTGACATGAACTTAATGTTTTCAACATCATATTATGCCGATACGTATTCCCATCAAATTCTTTGCCACGTTGAGAATAAATAAATTAATAAAATAATGTCATTAGTTTCTATTAAATAATTGTTAATCATTAATCTTTCGAAGATTTAAATTTAAAGTTTAAACTCCCCTTCTTTTCTTCCCCAGGTTTATGCGCCAAAAATCCCTTGTTCAGTAGTAAAGACGCAGCCTGAGATATCTACTAGTAATTCTACTGATAATTGCTCGACTGTACTTGGAGAATCGACATCTTCACTCCAAGCGGCCAAGTTCGACAGTTTTGACGAATGGAGCATGTTCATCCTCCAAGTAACATTGATATGTCTGATTATCAACGAATGGTTTGCCAAATTTCAAGAGGTGAGGATACAAGTCACCAGATTTTTTCTTCGCTCTAGTTGTTCTATTGTCGACGGATTCAAAATGAAAATAACAATATAGTTTTGTTTTGAGTTATATTAAATACAAGTACAAAGTTTGTGTTATTTAGCAGTGCAACATTTTTTCTTTTTGATCAACCTAGAAATGTGTCTCTAGACACAAAATAAGCGGTTATTAGAATTTCTTTGTTGAGAAAAAATTTACAAAATTTTTACCATATTATATTTTAGGTAAAGAAAGGCTCAGAAATCGAAGACGTGTATCCCATTATCAAACAATGCGGATCAGAATTCTTTCCACTGTACGATATAGCAACTTTCCAAGGATTACTACTTCAAAGAGACGTATTTGCTAACGATGCGTTAGTTGTGTCGATCGTCGCATTTACCTTGTTGAGCACACTGAAGTTTGTGCCTACTCCTCCAAAAGACGAGTTTGGCAAAAACAAGCTCAAAGCAGAGAGAAGTCGAACGTACAGTGCCTGCTACTACCTAAATCAAGTCCTTATTCAGGATATCCCATACTTACTGGTTCGTATTTACATTATGGCGTCTTTACGCAATGGAAGAACTCTGAACGAGCTGGTTTTTTCTTTCAAAAACGCGTTTTATATTGCCTGGTATTTGTTGCTGATTGTGTTGTTATTCATCGCCGCTGAAAAGGCCGAAGATGAAATGGAGATACACGTCGTGGAGGTACAGAAAAACGTCACTGATGTTATGAGAGAAAACGTAAAAAGATCACGAAAACAGCGTGCATATTTACAAGATACTGAAGCTTCCCTACAAAATCCAGTGCATGGAGAAAAACCTCGAAGGTCAAAGAACGGTAACCTTCACTCTCTGCTGTTAGATGAAACAGTTAAAGACGGACAGGAAAAGGTGCGCAAAAGCAGGAGAAAGAAGTCTGAAAAGTCCGATCACCGAAAAAGAAAAGACGAGGGTACGGTACTGGATGAAAGCGCAGAGGCTAAAAGAAAAGAACACCGACGAAAAAAGAAGAAAGGCGTTTCACCGCGACCAAAAATATCGCCCGAGGCCACAAATGAGAAAGACGAGTCGAGTCATGATGCAAGATTCATCTTATCACGTGATCTGCACCCAGTGTAAATGCCACGAATAAATAAATATCGATCTCTGGGGCTTTGGAGAGATTGATATAGAATATGAAGATACCTACATGGGCCCGAGAAATGACTGTGGGATATTCCGAGATTTGCGTTGGCGTTTTTCTTTTCACCCAATCATTAGTATGTCATGAATCACAATAGCACATTGTATAAAGACATAATGTAAAACATATTGTACAAAGACATTCTATAATCTGTAATCCTTTTATTACATTGACTGTTGCAGCTCAAAAGCCGTATTTAAATCATTGGCTGTGTGCCATATTATAATCATATTTATTTTCATATGAATGTGTCATAAAATTAGTATAGAAATAAAAAAACATTTCTAATTGTTTTCTTAACATACAAAATCATTTCTTGCCATTAATCTTCGCCCAATTTTTTATTTACCGAACTCCTTGAAGGCAAAGGCTCTTTTACAGGTAACACTTTCTATGCCAGGATCTGAATACGATTCGACATTTTTGTTCTATAAATCCTTTAAAACGCGTTACTATTTTCGTCCATCAAAGACATAAACGATATTTGAATAAAGACCATGGGAAAATTCTGACAAAGTGATGTCATACCTCTAAAATGGCCAACAGCTCATTGTGATTATTAAGCTCTTTATTTTCATACGTTATAATAAATTTGATAACTTATATTCATTTTAACCCAAATTCAAAGTGCCATAAGATATCATGCGCTATTATTGACAAGTTTCGTTGTGTTTTTAGCCTATTAGCGCGCTGCCTCCGCTGCAAGTGCCCTTAGTAATTGATATGTCATCAATGGCCACGTCGCTCCTGTAGTTCCTTCCTCTTATAGCTTGGAAGGCTACCTTTTAGAGAAATGAAGACAGTAATTATCAATAAGATAAAATGCAAGTGCGCGTTTTCCTTGCTTAAACGCGTTTTTCAGACTTTTTTCAATTGCCTGCTCAAACTTCTTGAAGTTCCGACAACTGTAATTTATTTACACAAATTTCGATTTTTACACAGATGTCTCAGATGTCTTAAATACCGCAAACTCGTATTAAAGCCATACGATAATTTTTATTTTGTTATGCAATTAGCCAATCGTCCCCTACACGTTTTGCAGCCAGCAAATTAAACAATTTTTAAATTAATCAAAATTATAGAATTAAAATTATAGAACTTACTTTGTAGGTAGGTTGTACATTGGTCAAAGTGACTGCTGCCTGAAGCCACTTATTTCCCTTGTTCCCACTGAGTACCATGATTGGAGAACGCACGACACCCGTGTCGCGGTATACCTTCAGGGAGCCCATTTCAGCCCCGTACATGTGGTACCAAAAACTGACACAAATGGTTCCGGTGACGTTCAGGTTGGGTGATGTGATCAAAGCGCTGTCGTTTGTTGCTTTTCCCGACGTCTCAATGAACAAATAATTACCTGAAGCCAAAAAAAAAAATAATAATAATAATAAATAAATAAAGATAATAAATAAAAAACCTTAAACTAACCTCTAAAAATAATGATTACAAGGTAGCCAATTAAGAACAAACGCCAACGGCATTTTATATTAGCAGAGATTTCTTTGTAGTAGTAAGTAGGCGTTTTCGTTTGCGGGTATAAAAGTATTTTTGCAAAAATATAACTACAGGAAATCGTAGACGAAAGAAGGTCAAAGGTCAGAAAAGCTCCCGGCAGACCTGTTCCCGTTGTATGGTCTGCAGTAGGTCCAGTCCCAGAGGAGGGCGTTGATCCGGAGTTTCTCAACCAGTCCAAGTTGTCCGTCGTACTTTGTACAAATCCACAGAGGTCCTTAGAGAAATCGCAGTTAAGAACTATTGGGATAAAAATATGTTATTACTTTATTTTATTTTATTATCATAGTTTTTTCCCCAGTGCGCTTTTATTCAATCGTTTCCCTATTTTTCTTATTAAATCTTAGACGTACCACGTGCAGGGGTAAAAACTTATTTAAGTAAAATCTAGGGCAGTAGAATACGTTTTGCAATGAAAACAATATACTTTGACCTTTAATATTATAAAGGTTTACCTACCTATTGCTTTTGGTTTCATGGTAGTTGTTGGTGCTGAAATTGTAGATTAGATTATACACGCAAGTACGTGTGTGTCTAATAACTTGAAATTACATTGAAAGCTTTTATCATGCGACCTTTCATTGCATGAAGGTTAAAACAAATACTCAATATTCTGTGTTTTCATTCGTCTCAACTTCATTTAATTCGCTTCAAAATAAGGCAGAGGTAAAGCAAGATTTCTCACCAACGGAAGGACAAGGCCCAGGGTTCACAGAGATGTCATCAATGGCAATGTCACCAGTGTAACTGCTTCCACGGATGGCTTCAAACACCAACTGGAACATAACATAACATAACATAACATAACATAACATAACATAACATAATGTGACGTAACAACTTAACATAATGTGACGTAACGTAATATGACGTGAGGTAACAACATAACATAACATAACATGGCATGGCACATCTACACACACTGGACAAAAGAAGTGTCACCCCTACTGAGCCAATACTATGGGGGAGATAAATGACTGTGGAATGATATGCTCCTGGTATCATTTTATTAACATCAAATTTCACAAAAAATCACAAAATGAGAACAAAATATACATTCTACCAAAATATGTATGTTCAAGTCAAAAATTAGTACTTAGTGGCATAGCCACGTGACCTAATAATAGGTGCCAGTCTACGAAGCAAGGATTCATTTAATTGTCTGATGCGTTCAGGGCTTATGCTGGCCCAAGCATGAAACACTGAATATAACAGAGTTTCTCTGCTGGTTAGACGGGCATTTGTAAAAAGTTTTGACGTATCATTCCACACATTTTCTATTATGTTTGTATCTGGACTCTGGGCAGGCCACATCACCCTGCGAATGTCCTGTTGGTCAAACCAATCATCAACTGCTCTGGGCCTGTGACAAGGAGCATTGTCATCCTGGTGAACAAATGGATAATTCCTGTCACCAAACATGTTAGTAATAGATGGTAGCAAGCCTGACTCCAAAACATCGATATATTTCTAGTGATTCAT